CTTTTTCGCTTGGTTCACCTCAATGTCGCTACATTCATCACTTTGTTTTGCAAAACATAAATTGCATAGAGTTAAGTTATATTCCAACATTTTAATTAACGATTGCTCATGTTTTGACAGTAAAATAAGTATGTAAAAACACACTTATCAGTGCGTTAACCCAAAAAAAAAAAAAAATGACTTCTTCAAATACGTATTGTGCACGGAAGCTACATCATAAAAATCCATGACATTGATGTCATATTTTCTAAAACACATTTTTAATTATAAATTTTATGTGATACACAATTTTTATCAACCTTTTAACACACATTTCATCAAAAATTTTAAAAATTTATTAAATCAAACAATTAAATAATAATTAAAATCAGTCAAATAAAAAACACGTTGAAGCACAGTTCTTCCCGACACATATATATGTAGGTTCATTTTAAAGAGAATTCTAGTTTGATCATGATTGATCTTCTAAGTATCGATACTTAACTTATGCTAAGCACGTGGATGATAACGTTTAATTATAAAACTGATTATACTATCTATTGTAGTGTGTATCATCACTTGATGCTTAGAAAATCAATTCTGCTAATTATATATCTCTCCGTATATAACAATGGACTTTGGTGTGTGTATGTGCAATATAAATATTTAAATATGGAGGTGCGTGTAAAAGATTTTTTTTTTTTTTTTCAATTTAGCAAAAGTTAATTTTAAATTCGAAATTATCATAATACTTTCATAATTTATATAAGTATGTGACGACAAGACTTCACCCCAAATCATGCTCTCATGACATGTAGATTGTTTCTTTTCAATGTCCAAGTTGTTGCCTGTAAGAGAAGAGACTTAAACAAAAAAAATCCAACATGTACACTTCAATTCTACATCATTTTTGACATTTAACGTGTTGTTAAAAAAAGGAATGGAGGAAAAATTATTTATATTTTTAAATTGTTTAATAGTGTGTTGCCACGTGGTAAAATTTAAATGATAATGTAATTGATGATGTGCACGTAGTATGATTGTTATTTAAATTTAGTTTGAAAAGTTTAAACTTAGATAAAATGATGAAAATATATCCTATTTATCTTGAACAATACACCCGAATTAAATTTCTTTAACAAATTAAAGATTATTAATTAATTATACATAGAATATGGCTAAGCTCTTGTTTGGCAACCATTTTTACATAATTTATTTTTTCAAACTCATTTTCAATCACACATATGACAATAAAATATCTTGCAAGTAAATTCAAATTTTTTCTTACTTTTTAACCACTTAAAAAATCACTATTTTAAAATTCATTTTTTTCAAAACAATTTTTTAATAGTTGTCGATGTTAGTTATTGGATTTAATTATCATAAGAAGAAATTAATTTCCTTTGAAAATTAAACCCAAGAGAATAATGGATCTTAGATCATTTTGATATCATTGGGTGTTGTTTTTTAAATCCTCACACATAGGAATGAGATGATAACCTTGAAATTTTTTTTGATGGTCTAGCCAAGTGCTTTTTCCCGTAGATCTTCTTCCTTATTCTCCTTAGATGTCCCTATTGGGAAATATGAAAATGTGGCTAACCTTAAAACTTGAGAAATGTGCCCACAAATGGCATATTTATAATACTCAATTGGGGTTTCATAATTGCACAATTTTTTTTGAACTTTATTGTAGTATATCAATTAAGTTACACACATTTTTTAGAGCAAAAATAGTGACCTAACCGAACTTATAAGATTCAAGCTCTAATAGATGTTACTAATTGTTAATCAATTGAGATACATATATTAATTTCGGCTTATTCTACCAAAAAAATCGAAATTGCACTCTTAAGTCAAGTGATAGTTATGGAAACAAGTTATAATCCAATAACAATATCCCCCGATAATCATTCCACAGGTCAACCTCCTTTTGACCGTCAATATGTTGAAACCGACAAAATGATCATTTTGCCCTTCAACATGTATTATTCTCTAAGTCTCATTTTTGATAAAGCGAATTCGTTGTGATCAAATCACAACGTAGAGTCCGACGTTCTTATCGTCGGACTATTGAGCTCAAGTTCAATTGCATATTAAACATACTCTAAAGTGACGATCATCTCATCATGATGATTAACGAATTCCACTATCACAAGTATATGATCTCTAATTGTTTAAACCCGATTCCCAAAGCACCGAGATCAATATTCTAATTAAGATTTCACTCATCTCAAAGAACTTGAGCTAAAAATCAAAGGTACATTACTCGCTCATAATTTAGGTGGCTTGTTTGATAATCGAGTAGAGTCTCATTTCGAGCGATCACAAATAAGTCATCTACGCAATCCCATTCAATGTGCATCAAAAACAAATTTTGTTTTTATTCTCAAATCTAGACAAATCTCAATAAGAACAATTCAATCTTATCAACATAAAACATCCAACTTATGTACCGATTGTAAACGACATATTTTGATCACGTCATAAATTGTGTCTCATGATACTCGAACCATCAAACATACAATTTGTGACGTCTTATATTGACCATGAAACCTTAGATAATTATTTCAAATTATAAAACGGGAATAATCGAACGTTAATTCATAAGGTCATTTTTCAAAATAATACTCGAAAATGCATCAAGCTAACATTCGAATGGGACTAAATGTGCCCAAGCGTGTAAATAAGCCATTAAGTTCAAGATTAATTGAGGTCATGTCAGATCTTTCATTTCTTAATCAATCAATTCTTTGGTGGCTCCTTGTAACAAGTCATTGCTCAATTTTTTTANGCTCCTTGCAACAAGTCATTGCTCAATTTTTTTAAAACATTTCAAAATTTTATAAATCAGATTATAATGTAATTATGTTAACTTTTTAAACCTAAATGGCTTTTATTATCATATTAATCGTTTCTAATAATAGGAAATGAAAAATTGAAAAATTTCAAATTGATTTTTTCCCCAATTTGTACCCACCTTAATGGCAGATGAACACGTGTTTCAATTTTTCAAACTAGGAATAACTGGTCCATGACGTGTTGTAGGTCTAGAAAAATCTCATTATCCTATCACTATTTATGGATTCTTGCCAACGATAGTTTTGGAACTGTAAACATCTATCTGAGAAGCGAAAGGATGGCATTCCGAAGACGTTCACCTCCTCCTCCTCCTCCTCCTCCACCACCGGAATCTTTTGCACCACATCCACCGCCGCCACGGGCACCAGGCATGTATGCACCCCCACCCCCACCCCCACCACCATCTCCACCACCTAAATATTATGCGATCCCACCACCACCACCACCTCCTCCAAGTCCAGTTCCTTTACCACCTGGACCACCCCCTTATGCAACACTCCCTGGATCAGTAACACCCCCACCGTTGGTGTACACAGATCGACCTGGACCACCTGTTCCTCCTCCTCCACCGTATTATGATCCACATCAACTATCTCCTCCATGGAACCGCCCTCGACCGCCTTACTAGTGACTTGATATGCGTGCTTAATACTGGCCTAGCTACGGCGTCTTGTAATCAAATCAATAAGTATGTTCCCTTTTTCATGTGTCGCTTGGAAGAAGCTAGAAAGCTTACGTAAGTTTGTTTATTGTACAGAGTGTGCGTGTCTGAACTTTGATGATATCTGAGACTCATTCTGGTGTTTCTTGATCATGATAATCATACTGTGACTGTGTAGAACAAGAAGGGGAAAACTCTTATTATACTAGTAGAAAATAGAATTAATAGGATGTCTCTGTTTTGGGAATAATTGCACTTTTTTCTGTTTGTCCTTGTTTTCCCAATCTTAGATTTAATTTATTTAAATGAAACATATTATTTTGAAATTCTCCTTCACATCAATGTATCACGAATAAACATGTCTCCTCCAAACATTTCATTCTCTGGAACCAATTCAATCTGGGCTGGAGTTGTTCCCTCAAATATCCTTTGTCTTGCTTCCATTGCCTGTCGTATGCAAGAATTAATGAACAGGTGATGAATACTAAGAAAGTTAGAACTATTCAGTATGGTTAGAATTCATAGCATAAGAAGCAGTTGAATTCGAACCTGTTTCTCCCAATCTGTGAGAATTGTTACAAGAGAGAACAAGAAAGATTGCAGCGTTGCCCCTGCTACCAATCCAATCCAAAGGCCCTTTCCTCTAAAGTGGTAAATAAATCCCACCAGCAAAGCCACTGGAATTCCAACCAGATAATATGCACCAAGATTTACGTAGGCTCCTATTTTCTGCCAGCCACTACCTCTAGCTGCACCTGAATCCAAAAAAAAAATAAAATGGAAATATATGATGATACAAGAACAAATTGCTAATATTCCCAATAGTTGTTTTTAAGATGTATATAGATCACCGGAGAATATAGCTTGTAAACTGTCCATGATGATGGAGAGGCAAAGTAAAGGAGTCATTTCTTTTACATAAACCACGACTTCTTTTTCATCGCTAAATGCATAGCCCAATATGTGGCGATAAATGAAGATAGCAGTGCTTGCTATGACGAACTCTGCAGTTGACAGAATCAGCACCGTGTATAGAGCAATTTGGGCTGCCTGAGGTTTCCCAGCTCCTAGTTCATTTGAAATCCGAGTGCTACAAGGTGTTTATGATTTTCGTCTCAGAATGTAATCTCAATATAAAAGTAAAACTTCTTGGCATATATTTTGAGAGAAGACCTTGCAGCAGCACCAAAAGAATATGGTATGTTATAGTGCAATGAAGTAGTAGTCATGCTGTTTGGAAAGTGAAATTGGGTCAAAAAAAAGATGTATTCTCTGTGTATTCAAATGATCTATAGAAAGTACTAGAAATGAACATACCATATAGATAAAACAGACATTTCAAGTTGTGGATTAGGCAATAATCCTGAAAGAAGTATGATTATCTCAAATGACCACCACTCAAGACTGCATTTAGAAAGAAGAAAATGAACACGTATAATTAATATAAAGTACGATAAATCAATGGAGTATAGGTTTTCTAAATGAGAGTGTAATTACCAAATCATCATAGCAGAGGGGATAGCAAATCGGATGAACTGCCCCATGGTTCGGAAAACGTCTTTCGAGAGTGGAGCACGGGTCTTTTTACAGGCTGAAGAGTACTTCACATAAACCCCGAGCAATATCACATTTAACCAGTATGATAAACCAATGGAAAGTGCAGCTCCAAGATTCCCTAGCTTAAACTTGAACACAAGAACCCAACAAAGAGGCAAGTTGAAAAATAGAGATGCGACTGAGCTCAAAAGCATTGGTTGAATCAAACTCTGAGTCTGCAAATACCTGACCAGAGATTGGAGAATTGCATAGGGAAATAGTGCAGGAATGAGCCAAATTGCAAATATTCCAGCTTCGGCTGAGACTAAAGGGTCTTGCCCCATGAATGTTAATAGCTTATACGTGTGCATCCATAGAAGAGATACAGGTAAACACACCAGGAAGAGGCACAAAATGGAACCATAAGTGAACGTTCCAACCTGCTGGTATTGTTCTGCGCCATATGCCTGTCCACACAGAGTTTCCAGTGCACTGGCCATTCCAAACTGCTCGGGAAAATTCAGATGCTGGATTAGTGGCCATTCCAATGCCTCAAGGATTACGGACAAAGCCGTAACATGATGGTCAATCAAACCTACTTTTGTAGTCTTTATAGTAGATATCTAAATATTGAAGGTTACTACAAGAGTGCTTAAACAGCTGCATATGAACTGAATAATTGCTAAGGAGTTGGTCACTAGATATGCAACAAGTGCTCAAGGACCAAGCCTTTAGGGGGAGAGTTGATGCTGTTTTTCTGTTTATGCTTGATATTAGGAAGTTGTTAGTCATGCCTTGTAATCAGCAAATTTCCTTGCCATTCTGTTAAACTATAGCTCTAGCTGTGCAGTGAATAAATAAACATAAAGTTTCCTGAAATCAAAGTTTTCATTTGCTGTCTTTTACTTCTTTGCTTTGCTCATGTCGAATAACGATAAATTGGTATCGCAACTCTTTTCTTGAGGGATCTGTGAGTTGAGCGAGTCCACAAACACAAACCAAAACCAAAACCAAAGCCAAAGCCAAAACCAAAACACAAACATAAAACCAAAAATATAAAAACTGCTAAACAATGGAAACTGAAACAACAATCTCACATGTTGTACCACCAGTTTTTGATGGTGATAATTATCAAGCTTGGGCTATTAGAATGACAATCTTGATGCATTAGACCTCTGGGAGGCTATAGAAGAAGACTGGCATCCCTCCATTGCCTAACAATCCTACCATGGCTCAACTTAAGGCCCACAAAGAAAAGAAGACTAGGAAGTCCAAAGCTAAAGCCTATCTATTTTTGCTGTGTCAAGCACAATATTCACAAGAATCATGAACCTAGAGTCCGCAAAGGACATTTGGGATTACCTCAAAACGAAATATCAGGGCAATGAAAGAACCAAAAACATGTAAGTGCTCAACTTGATAGGAGAGTTTGAAATGCAAAAGATGAAGGAGACAAAACATCAAAGACTACTCTGACAAGTTGCTGAGCATAATAAACAAAGTGAGATTGCTTGGTAAGGACTTCCCAGATGAACGAATTATGCAAACAATTCTTGTAACTATAAATTTAAGTCTAAGATTTCTACATTAGAAGAGTCAAAAGGATTTATCAAGTATATCATTGGGATAATTGGTGAATGAACTGCAGGCACAAGAGCAAAGAAGAATGATGAGACAAGAGGATGTGCTTTTCAAGCAAAGGTAAAAAATTCGGGAAAAGACAGAGACGAGGAACTACAAGAACAAGAACAAGAAGAAAAATAAAATAATGAAAAAAACAAGGAGGAAACTATGATGCACTGACACGGACAAGTGTGTCCGACAAGATACGTGTCGGATACGCCGACACGCGATTTTTAAAAAAAGTACAGAAATGACATATCATCGACACGTTGTTTAAATTCTTAAAAATTCTTCATTTATATAGTATAAATTTAATATTATACTTGTTATTAATTTTTCTTGTTGAAATTTTTTAAACATGAGTACTTATTTGTTACTTGATAGTAACTTTGAATTAACAATATATAATATTTATAATATTAAAAAAAAAATTACGGTAGAGTGTCCGAGAAGTGTCGGTATCGACTTGTGTCGGACACGGACACGCTACCCCAATCGAAGTATCCGTGCTACAGAGGCCAGCATCCGCCAAAAGAAAATGAATAACACCCGTACATTAGATAATCATTCAATTTTAACTTACAAGGAAACTAATCCCAAACAAACTACTCGCTAATTATATTGAGGTGTAGAAGGAAATGCAAATGCCGGAGTGCATATCTACATTAAGATAGGAAAAGAACAGGAATGTTCTCGTTCCATTCCAGGATGAATATTATATAGGACACACAAATGTGGGTTGCGATCCTAGTATGGGCGCGGTAACATTCATTACGTAAGCTGCTAAGCTGGTGAATAAAAGTCTGCTTTCTTCAGAGATATATATGCTGAAACCCAAATTAAGTCCATATTTGACAACTATTATTTCAAAACTTTTTATTCTACATACTCATTATCAACCACACATTCAACCTTGAAGGTTTGCTCAATTGGTCAAGTCTTGGGTTTGCTCCCCAATGATCACCCGTTCGAGTTATCTCAGGGCCACTGAAGTGAGTACCCCGACCGTAAACTTCAAGACCTCGTGGAATTAGTCGAGGTGCACGTAAGTAGGCCCGGACATCCACAAAAAAAAAATTATCAACCACACATTCACACAATAAAATTATTCCGCATGTAAACCCAAACTTTTTCCCTCTTTTTAACTACGCATTTTCCAAAAATCCACTATTCAGAACTTTGTTTTGCCAAATAATGGCCATCAAACAGGGGCTAAGAGTATGTTTTCCAACCTTAGGAAGATTTAAAAAGTTACTTCTAACTTCTTATTTTCAATCATATTGGAATATATTACAATTTTCTTACTTTTCAAAGTGTTTATAAACGGTTTAAATTATCATTGAATTTGATATAAAAACTTCCCACTGCTGATGTGATAAGAGTTCGTGAGAATTGTTTATCCTGCCCATTGGAGGCACGACATCAGATTTGTAAATTATCAATAAGTAAAAATAAGTGGTGAACAAGTAGATAGTACTTGTGGATCCCTCAAGATGGGTGGACAACAGGTGGCTTGCGTGTTTATAAATAGTTTATAAACACGAGCCAAACATATGCCAAGAAATTTACTTCCTCACTCCAAAATAATTAACTTCTTATTTTCAGCTTTGCCAATAAAATAATTTATTTATTTTAAATTTATTTACTTATAAGTAAACTTCATAAGCTTAGCCAGACATGCTATAAGTTGAGAAGCAAAATCCAATGCAGCATTACCTAAAAATACACAACTTGATATTTGTAGCTTCCTATTATTGCAATATCAAAAATTCTAACCACACATCTAGTAGAAATCAGTTCAGGAAATTACGATCTTCACAGGTAGCATTAGTTGGAGCAATAGATCACCAATTCTTAGTTAACTAATGTGATAACATGGGGACAGTAGTACCTTTGTCCACGCAATCCTCTTGTATTGATTTGCATGTTGCTGCACAACTCTCCGATGTCTTTGCACCCAATCATCGCCCAACAAATCTTTGGCCTCAGACCTAAAAGCAACACATATATAAGCTAAAATTTTGACGGACACAAAAATATGGCTTGTGATGTTTCAACAATCCTTAAAAATTGTTATGACCTGCGGACAGATCTGACCATATAATGAATGTTATTCATGAGAAACAGTTGAGTCAAAGAAGGATCCTTATATTGCTTAGATTTTCCATCCAAATTGGTTTGAAGAGCCTGCATTATACGCATTGTAACAGCAGCTAGCTGAGAATTTGAGTCATCTCCATTTTCAAATTCGCAGAAAAGTTGCTTCAATGTTGATTGATAGCTGGACAAGAATAAAAAGACATTAATTTCAGTTGTATGTACACAAATATAGATATACCAAATGTAAATAGACTTAAAATAAGCATAAAATCAATGTATTTTTTGTTCGTATTACATTAAACAAATCAAATAATTTAAAGCAGCAAAATTACAGTTTTCCAGAATATTTTTGCATTTTACCGGACAACAAGATTTTGATAAAAGGGAAAGTTCAAATTGATGAACGTAACATGTCATTTATATGCAATAAAAATAATGATTAAGAAAGAGTATTGTGTTCCATCTGTTGAAGACTCAAAAGGCCTGATGTAGATTTTTTGAGAATAGACTTTATGAAAAATGATTTTTTTTAGAATGTGTTTAAAAAGTAGAAAAAAGGTTATGGATACATATGCATAATTATTTCATTGGGAGAATGTGTGATTGAAAATGAGTTCGTGGAAAAATGAGTTTAATGAAGATGCATATCTTTCCTCGAATTTTGAAGTTCAAGTAGGCAAAAAGCTTCAGAGGACAAAACAACAGCAAAAAATCATGTGCCGTAACTTATTTCCAGACCATTTATTGTATTTGGCAATGAAATTTATGTGAATAAGGCTAAGATTGATTAGATAATAAAAAAATAAATAAAAGAAAGAAAGATATAGGACTTGTTCTTTATATCGACTTGTAAATGTTAAGTCATGTGAAGGAGATAATTCGAATAAAACACCATCTTCCATGAGAATGAGCTATGCGCAGGTTTTACTAAGGATCTAAAATAAGAGCGAATTGAGAATATATCATTCCGTGCCAACCTCCACCAGCTACGATCACCTACTCTAACCTGAATGTGCGCCTCATGCAAAGAGGTCAGAAATAACGCATAATCATCTAATTCTCAATCCTGTAAACCCCTCTCAAAAACAGTATTCTAACTATGACTTCCATTATGAATGGTGAGTACATCATTTACCATATCAGACGGCTCCAAGGCAATGCGATGCAAAGAAGGAAAACGAACCTTAAGCGGTCGATCTCCACACCAACGACCGTCCCAAAATCTGATATTATTGTCATATCTCACCTCATAGTCCACGTTATCTCGAAAGTCACTACATCCTCGGTGGATATACCTCCACAAACTCAGCCCATAAGAACCACGACCGTCAACTGAGCACCAACCCCCGTCTGTAACACCATACTTCGCTCCAATGATTTCTCTCCAAAAACTCACCATCTCCACTCCAAATCGTCACAGCACTTGCCCAGCAAGACCTTATTAAACAGGACTAGGCTCCTCAATCCAAGCCCCTCCACCCTTACAGGAGAACAAACCACACTCCACTTAACCAAATGGAATTCTCTCTTCTCCGATCCATGTCCAAAGAAACTCCCTTTGGATCCTCTCTAATCTACATGCCACTGCAACAGGAATAGGAAAAAATGACAAAGAATAAGTAGGAAGGTTGGAGAGAGTGGATTTGATGAGAGTAAGACGGCCACCCTTCGAAAGGTACATACGCTTCTACCCCGCTAACCTCTTCTCCATCCTTTCAATGATTCCATTTCAAATATGTTTACTTTTAAACCTTGCCCCTAAAGGGAGCCCAAGGTATGATATAGGCATATGCGCAACCCTACATCCCAAAATACCAGCCAACTCATCGATGTTAGCAACCTCTCCCACCGTGATAGCCTCAAATTTCCCCAGATTAATCCTCAATCCCGACACCGCTTCAAAGCATAGAAGTAGCCGACGCAAATTCCTCAATTGCTCATCATTAGCATCGCATAAAATCAGTGTATCATCTGCAAATAGCAAATGGGAGATCTGTGCATGTCCAACCGTAAAGCCCCTTATCAAACCTTCCTCCACAACTTTCTCAAGCATCCTACTGAACGTCTCCATAACAATAACAAACAACAATGGAAACATGGGATCTCCTTGCCTCAATCCTCTGCTGCTTTGAAAATAGCCCTCCGAAGTGCCGTTAACCATAACTGAGAAGAAACAGTTGAGATACAGAATTGAATCCACTTACACCACTTTTCCCCAAATCCACATCGTCGGAGCATATACAAAAGGAACTTCCAATTTACATGATTGTAGGCATTCTGAATATCGAGCTTACATAGCATCCCTAGCACTCCCAAATGCAATATTGAGTCAACGCATTCATTTGCTATAAGCACAGAATTCAAAATTTGTCTTCCTTTCACAAAGGCATTCTGAAACTTAGACACCCCTTTCCCAAGCACCTCCTTCAATCGATTCGCCAATAACTTCACAATAATCTCATACACCCCACTAACTAGGCTAATAGGGCGAAAATCTTTAATGTCCACCGCCCCTGATTTCTTGGGAATCAGCACAATAAATGTAGCATTTAAGCCTTTCAGGAACCTGCCATACTCAGAAAAATAGTTAAGAACATTCGTAATATCCGCTCGCACCACCACACAACAAGCCTTATAAAATACGAACGAGAAACCGTCTGGTCATGGTGCCTTATCATCACTCATACTGAAAATCACCTCCCTGATTTCCTCTTCCCCGAATGGCCTCTCTAATCATCTAGCATCCTTCTCCGTGATAGTAGAAAAATCCAGTCTCTCCAACTCAGGCCTCCACCCAAACTGTTCCCGATAGAGATTTTGATAGAAACTCACCATTTTGTTTCCAATAACATGTGGGTCCTCATAAGTAATCTCATCTACCTCCGGCAACGTGATAGAATTATTACGCCTGTTTGAATTCGCAATCCTATGAAAAAACTTGGTGCATTTGTCCCCCTCTTTCAACCACATAACCCTAGATTTTTGGCGCCACGTAATCTCCTCCATCTCTACCAACCTCTCCAACTCTCCCCTTAATACTCTACGTCTCTCCTCTCCTCCCCAATCAACTCACGGCTCTCATCCCGCTTATCTAACTCCTCTATGTCTGAGAGACTGACTTTTACGCCAATTAACATCGCCCACCACCTCCTCATTCCACCTCTTTAAATCCCCTTTCAAAGCCATTAATTTCTGATCCAACACAAAGCTGGGAGACCCCTTAAAGTCATAAGAGGCCCACCAGGTCCGTACACGCTCCCCAAAACCTTCGACTTTTAACCACATCTTCTCAAACATAAAAGGCTTTCTTCCACTACCCCTCATATCCCCAGATAATGATATAGAGAAACGATCGGAGTACACCCTCTCTAATCTCCTCTGCGTCACATCTAAGTACTTAACCTCCCACTCCTCACTAACCGATCTATACGAGAATGAACCGGTTGGTCCCGATTAGATGACCAAGTAAAATCTCCCTCAATCATCGGTAGATCCACCAACATATTCTCCCTAATGAAATCTGAGAACTCCATAGCCCCTGTAAGTCTCTCACCGCTCGACCTCTCAGAAGGAAATCGACTCACATTGAAGTCACCCCAATACACGTTGAGAGACTCCACCAAGCCATCATATTGGCCAATTCATCCCACAAACCCCCTCTACTACCATCAACAGTCGGACCATAAACTCCTACAAATATCCACCGAAATCCACCCACTATATTCCTAAGTGAAAGCGATATGGTGAATAACCCTACACTAACCTCCTCCTTATCAAACACTCTAGTATCCCACATGACAAGCACACCTCTTGAAGCCCCCAAAGACTCCAAAAATTGATATCCTACATGTTGTCCCCCCCCCCAACAAACTACTAACCACAGTCCTCGAAACGAACTCCATCTTAGTTTCTTGTAAACAGACCAAGTCCGACGTCCATCCCATAATCAGATGTCGAATACCCCGCATTTTCCCCTCCTCATCATTAAGCCCCCTCACATTCCAGCTTATGATTTTTGGGATCATTTCAACACTCCAACATCCCTCCCCAACATACCTCTCTTAAAGTCTCCACCCTTGATGTCATAATTAACTAACCATTCAAGTCGCTTAAGTCAACGATCACCTTTTCTTCTTGATTTCCCTCCTTATGTGCTCTTCTACTGTCCTCTGTTAGTCTACAGAGCCTCAAATAGTTTCATGAGTTCGCGTTCATGTCCATTACAGGACACACCAACCATCCTGCTGAACTCCTGAGTTTTTTTAAGAATTCGAAGGTGAGAGCCCATCAGCAAAGATGTGTCCCTCCACTTCTTCCACTGGAACTGCGCCACTGTCTCTGTCCCCCTTCTTACCGTCGTCAACCCATACCACCAGAGCTTTTTTAGACCCTTGCTCCCTTCCTTGTAAAGGCTTCAAGTACCTCCTATTGTAAGAATTCAACACTCTATTGGCCAAACCCATCTCCTCGTATTCTTCCACACCCTTACAAGCAAACCCCTCTGCCAATACACATCCCTTCTGATTCTCATCCAACACTAATCCCTCTTCTGATTCAAATGTATCCAACGCATCCATAGTTGCTGCGTCCAGATTAGCCATAATCGGCTCCCCTTCCTTAGACCAACGTTCTGCCTCGTAAACTGCTTCAAAACCCGAGTCATCATCCTTAACCAACCCCGTTACATCCACTCCATCGTCCTTAACTGAATACGCCGGTTCCATCTGAGTCTGAGACTTACGAATTGGCTCAATCAAAACCGCTTATCTTTCGTTTGGGCAACTTTCCATGATGATCCCTTAGGATCCAAAGTTGCTAATAGTTGTCCATTGCCTGAAGATTCCTCCACGTTCATCCCACACCTATGACAACAAATTAACCCGCATCCCGCATCAGACTCACTCCCCACAAGCCTAATTAATTCATCAAGTTCCACTTTCAATGCCTGGATGAATGCCCTTATTTCAACAAACCTCCAAAGCCTTCCATGTGTACCTCCTGCACTTGTCTCCACCCCCGTGTGCCTCATTAAATGAGGGTACCTCACACCAACCGCCCCTTCCTTTCACAGCAACACCCATTGATCGGCATTCTGTGAAACTTGTGAGTTTGCCACAACCTCGGCATACGTCCTTCCCTGTCGCATTCTATCGTCTACAATTTGACGTTTGGCCTTTTCACCAACGACAAATGAGTTAACAACGGCCTGAAACGCCCTCGAGATCGATGCCCATCCTTCTCCATTCACGCCCTCCGGTACCATCACAATGTTGTGAAAAAGATGACAATAAAAGTAAAAGATAAACACACGGATTTGCTGAGGAGTTTTTATTTCTTGAGGAATCACGATACAGTAGTTGAGCGACTACTAAATTCGCTTACAAGCCATATGTCATTANACTGTGCTATCATCAAGTACCTGCCACGACTGTTCGCACATCGTTGTGCCAAAAAGGCTCTATGGGACTCGTTAAACTTAGAGGCGAAACCCGTCAATCTGCTAGTCGCCCTCAACTTATCCACCATGTTCACCATCCAAAGTGCGCCAAACCTCCCCATGCAAATTGAGTTCGATAGCTTTGAGCCCCACTCTGTCATCCTAACAGTGCCTAAAATTGTTAATAGAAATTGCAAACTCCTTCGCTTCAACTCGAAAACGACGATCATAGACCAAGCCATATCCATTCCCTAACTTTTTACCCAAAATCTGTGTAAGTGGCACGTCTGATGGTAGAACAGGTGTCATGGCTGAACCGGGGACATCCTGGTGCGTTCCCTGTTTTCCCGACGCCGGGCGTGGCCGTCATGTGCCGGCACAAGCGCTTCCGGCGCGGCGCTTGCTCCTCGCCGATCGTCCCCCAGCGTCGGAATCCCCACCCTAGCCCACTGGTCAGGAGCGTGTGTCGGGTGGGGAGCTAGGTCCTGCAGATCTTGAACAGCGACGACGCTAGGGTTTCGATGGTTAAGGTAGTGGGTGGTGGGTTTTTCTGTCACTGACTTCTTGCCATCAACAGCGTTGGCCGAAAAGGGTGGTTGGTGGGTGGAGAGTGGCTGGTTAAGTGAAGGTTGGGTGGTTTTGGATTTTAGGGAAAGGGGCTCCATACGCGACCTCGGAGAAACCTGCTCAACGGTTTAAATGCTGTGCTTTTACAGTAGTATTTATTGTTATGCTGATTTGCAGTAACTTTGGAAAATGACCGTACAAGACAAGGCACTGTAAGTAGACTTTCTAATTTAGTTCCAAATTACTAGTTTCATTATAATGAGATTATAATGGTGAGGAATAAAGGGTCCCACAAAATGTGGATAATAAGTGGATAATAATTGTGAATGTGTGGTTAAAATTAATGTTTGACTTTGACTTCAAATTATAAGGAGATTACAATGAAACCCAAACAAGCATTAAGTATTCAAAAGGCAGGGTTTTAGAGTTAGTTGACATACTCAAACAGGAATTTCACATAGTTAATCACATAGCTTGTCAAAGGATGAACTGTTCCATCTGCAACGGCAGTTTTTGTTGCATCTTTTTCAACAGCCTCTTCAAAGTCGCTAAAAGTCTCTTTTGCCGTCTGTGCAAGCCTCTTTGTCAAACCCAAGGCCAATTCTCTGATTTCATTGCAGGGTTTACCTCTAAAAAGTGCTTCGATCTGCCAAATTTCAGCTCTTCAGTTTCATTAGCATTCCATCGAGTCACATAATAATGTTTTCAAAGCAAAAAGTCATCTAATGTATAACGCATTATAGGATTGACATTGAACTATGATGGAGAGAGTATAATAAATACCAAGTTGGAAGAGAACAATCTCAAGAAATATTTTCTTTAAAACCAAGCTAAAAAAACTTCTATATATTTTGAATATGTTTTTCAGTAAAATTTAGAGCTAATAAGATATTTGCCAACCTCATAGTTCTCATCGTACATAAGGAAGTTACTACTCGAAAGAAAATGTCCCATACCTCTGAGTGAATTTCTCGCATTATTTCATACATATCGAGAAGCACAAATAACTTTTCAGAGGATCTTTTGCTTTTGGCAATTGCATCTCCAAAGCTCAGTAGCACTGCCACACTCCCGGCAGTAACTTCAGCAAAGCACTGATCCATGAGGGGATTGAAGCCTTCAAAAATTTGATCACAAACTTTACGTTCTCCAGCAAACAGCAACTTGACCTGTTTGGAAATAATTGGATTCTCAAGAAACAAATCAATTCAAATATGCATGAACATTACAGAGAGAACATACAGCAATCCTCATAAAATGTATCCAATTGCCAATCTTAGCTTCCAAAACTTCCCATTGCATCTTCTGAACATCATCTTTGCTAAGCTTTTCTACTCCCAATTTGCAAAGGCTTTCTTCTAAAACTGAAGAACGAGCTTCCCTACATGAAATAAAAAAAGGAAAATGTGACTTGTCGACATTTTTAATAAGATGCAGAAGGTTGTAATTTGATTTCTTAGAATGTGTTTATTTCTTATTCTGTGATCTAAAAGTTTGAGACCATTGCGAAATAAAAGGAGATGTGAGAACCCAACGTAATATGGCAGCCGAACACCATAATCAAGTGATTTTCTCATACTTCCAGAACAACTTCAATTGTCAAATCGATAACCAAATGCCAGTATTATAGAAAAAAGTTGAAATTAGCACATTACCAATTATATCACAGGGAAAAGACACACTAAACCTTTCAGTTCACTCTTCTGACCTGCTCAGTACATGTGAAGCCAATTCTGTTACTCACCTGTATATTATCAGTAACTGCTGCTGATTACCAGCCTGAACCATCTGTAGTGCTAAATCATGCAACAAAGGCAGAATCCTGGGTGGAATAAGAGTTGGTGTTGTGTATGCAGAATTTTCTTCACTATTTGGATGCTCAGAATGACTGTGGGATGATGGAGTCTTGCCACTGGAATCAGCCTGATCTCCAGGTGATCCAGATGATGGTCGCATAGAATTGGGAAGGCACTCAAAAAGTCGTTCAGGCTCAACAGGTTTGCTGCATATGCAGAAATTTAATTTAACATGCAGACAACAAACACGAAATAAAGGTGGGTATCATGCATATCTAGGTTCATATACAATATATGAGAATAAATAACAAGCATAACTTTGTTGATATACAATATGTAATAGTAAATGAAAAGCATCCTGCATAAAGTAGTAATAAGTCTAAAGAGTAAGGGAAAAATATCAAAGTCTGATTTCAAAATGTTGATCAACCATCTAGGGTAATTAGTCAAGAACTAGACAGTATAGCTACTAAATAAGCAACGTGCATCAAAGTGGCAAGCCCTCTTTGGGGCCCAAACCTAAGGTGCATTTACATTTCGTCTAAGTAAAGCATATACTGCGTTCTAAGTACATACATAACATATACAGGAAACTTCTAAACGATAGAAATTTTCAATAAAAATCAAAAATAACAATTTAATTTCACTACTGAGCACAAATAATGCTTAAGATCTTATACATACTAATGAGAGTTCAGTGCTTTCCAGTATGTCCGATTCATTAATATCATCATTATCCACCTTTTATTCTACTAAATACTCAAAAATCAGAAGGCCATGACACCTGCATCTAATGTTTACCCATCCTCATTTCAAAATTTCAAGTGTTAGCAAAATATATTCTTCACCTCCATCCACAACACCCGTTAAGACCTCTGTGTTTCTACACACAAAAATTCGCTTCTATCTTTAGATTGTCTCAGTTGTGAAGGCAAATTTAGAAAGTGGGTCTACAAGTACAATGAAATGGCAAATAAATTTCATTTGTTGGGTGTTGGCAAATGGCGGCAGGCGAATCGAAGGAGGTGGTAAGGCCCAACAATATTCAATCTGTATAGTTCATCTTCCCTTACCATTTTTGCAATTTTCTTTGTAATTTATTTAAAATGAACATTATGTCCTTAATTTAATGACATGGAAGGGTAAATATTAATCAAAAATTATGACCACGTCGTTAATGTACTACCTTCATACAGCAAGTTAGTGACTACATACACATATATAGTACAAGACTTAGTCGAGCTGGGTGAACCAAATCAGTCCTACCACCATAAAATCATGAGCATGAAAAGTGTCTAGTCCAAGACAACTTTTAGTTTAAAAATAATGGAACGATTACAAGGTAAAAATTTCTTGCACCAAAGAAAGCAAATATATACCTGTAAGATGACAAAATCTGTTTAAATTCTTCTTCCAGCTTGGAAATAGCCTTGGCAAGTAAATTATTTGAATGGTTAACCACTCCATCACTACTCTTGAAGCTTTTGTTGTCACTAAAAAATCGAATGTTGTTTCTTAGTTGCGCAATTGCTTGAAGATAACTTTCTAGGTCCTCATGTGGCCCTTTAAGTATTTTAGCTTCAGCCTACAAAAAAGAAGTATTTCATAGATATCAGCAGTTATAAACAAGAAATACATATTTGGGAGGCTCCGGAATAGAGCAGCGGATGGGGGGCACCTAATATCCCTACCCCAAACAATGAAATTTCATAATACTAGGGAACCGAAAATCAGATTTACTTAAAACAGTAAATACACATTTTACCTTAAAGGGGTACCTCCCACAGTAACAGATGAGTTATTAAATCCTTTTATCCCCAAAACAAGCTAGTTAATCCTTCCAGTCAACTCATACTAAGGGTAAGGGGATATTACTATTGGATATAAAATCACCAAACCTTTACATTTTACATCGATAGGCAATCGGTAGAGAGAGATAATAAATTGAGGGCGACTTCTGCAATAATTAAAATGGCCTTACAACACGAAATAATCTCGAAAAACGTATTGTTCATAGCAATCCTGTCCTAGATTCTTTTTTCCAAACTAAAGGCTTTCAAAACGTGCCAATAAGTTTCCATATCTAGTCAGATTCTTAAAACTTATATTTTCCTTTCCATCTAATAGATCTTCAAATTTAGCCCCTATTTGCTTTAGCCAAAAATAAGATTTTCAATAGATTTTGGTAAAAGTAAATAAAATGTGTGGTTGAAAAGTTTATAAAAGATGAGTCTCATAAAATGTACAGTTAAAAACGAGTATGAAGAAAAATAAGTTCTAAAAAATGGAGTTCAAACCTGGGCTAAGATTTTCATCGACCTTCCCTTGTGTTCTACCGCTGATTTTGATAACATAAATTAGCATATATTTGGCAAGTGTTTAAAATCTGTTCACAAACGGTTAAAAATGGTCAAACCAATTTTCTTACACATTTTGTAGAACCCACAAATACTATCCACTTATTCGCTACTCATTTATATCTATTTATAAATAAAACAGTTTATAACACTTGCCAAACATGTTTTTAATCATGCACAGAGACTCGCTACGTTAAAAACGTCATTATAACCCACAAGCCCAACCTCGAAACTAGCAAACCCGTTGGGTTGCAAATGTTTATTTTAAAGGCACAACAGGATTCAAACCCTTGTCATTGGAACAGAACATGACATTCTTTCTGTTGTGTCTTTACTTTATGAATATACGATAAAATGCTTATAACATGTTCGAGTAGAATACGAAAAATTTTATATTACAATGAAAATATAAAATATTTGTTAGTAGTTATTACTTTTTCTTTTATGTACATCTATAGAAAATTGAAATGATTTCTTATGTTGATATGTATTTATATACATATTTAGGCCTTGTTTGTTTCGAATTAAAATCGAATTTTAATCTAAGTCAAAGTCAAACAATCAATATTAACCACATCTTTCGTGGGTCTCACAACTTTTCAACCACACATTTCAAAATTTTTTATCACAATCTACTAAAAATCTAATTTTAATCTCCACCAAACACCCACTTAGATTTAATAAGCAAGTTAATCATCAATACAGTTAGAGTGAAAAATAAAAAAGTGTCTTGATATGAGTACTCTGAATAAATGTATTTTGTCAATGTCAAAAACTTTGAAATTTACGAGCGAGTCCCTTTTCATGCGAGACTTTCTTCAAATGCCTCAAGTTTACACCTCAAGTGCCATTGTGAGGCTCACACCTAGAGTTACCACACATACTCCTCAAGCCTAGCCTCAAGGCGATAAAGTGTTCACCTTGTTGTCTTGCTTTGTCTAGCCATTTTATTACAACTCTTAGATTCTAGGGTTATTTTTTAATAACTCAATGTTTTTACATGGTTTTTGTTTTTTCTGTTTACACGGAATGGGAAGGGATAGGGAAATAGAGGAAGATCCCATTGCAAGTAGAGGATGATACTAAGAATTAAATATGAAGATGAATACCTTAAAGATCATATTTGTATCAATGATATATGAGACTTCTAGATTGTTTTCACTCTTAGTCCAAAATTACAATTTTGTCATGTGCTAACTAGTGTTTTAAAAACCGGACCGACCCGACCCGACTTGACCTGTTCAACAGGGAACCAGGACCAAAATCAGTCCGATTAGGTTAATAAAACCCTTAATTAAAAATCCGCCACAAAACCCGTTAAACCGGTCGGTTTTCGAAAAAATCGTGACTCGTTCCCGGTTTAAACGGTTCAACCTATGTAAATATATAGTTTTAAAATTTTTTAAATGTATATTTTTTTAAGTTTTGTAAATATATATTTTTAAAATTACCGATTCGATCCCGGTTCATCCTTTTGACCCTTCACCCTTTCTCTATTTCGGGTCGATAGTTGAGTCGATTTTTTAAACATTGGTGCTAACTAATTTGAGAAGTTATTTTTGCTACTTCTTTTACCTATTTCATGTTTTTTAGCAAACTATACTTTTAATTATGGCAATTAAATTTATTATGGATTTAACATGTTTTATGGTTTATTATTAGCATATTTTGTTATTTTTATATTGTATTGAGTTATTTTATTGGTTTGTCTCAGGCATCAGCACACGCCTTGCCTCACAAAGGTAAAATGCCTAAGGATCCAAATGAGCCTTGTTAAACATAGATTTTGATAATAACAAACACACAATTAAGGAACGAAATGTGCGGACAATGTTAATAAGTTGATTTTAATAAAACAATATGCACATGAAAGAAACATCAAGAGAAAAATCAAAATGGCACATTATAAAATATACTATGTGCCACTTTTCAAAATTTGAACCACAAACTCAAATGATAAAAGTTTTAAAAAATTAAGCCCACTAAATAATGATTAGACATGTCTATAACCAAAAAAAAAATAAAAATTGAATAGCATAACTGGATTTTATATGTCAAAAAGGATAATTATTAGCATTTTTCATCTTTTTATAACTATCTTAGTGTGCATAGCATAATGCATTGTGAACTTATAGAATGTTCCAACTTTCCGACATATAGTTGTGTGTGCATTATTTCTCTATTTTTAAAAATACTTGTTTATATTTGGAGTCCTTAGCAAACCCACGAGTTGAACCAGTATCTCCGTGATTCCATATTTGGGAAATCTTCACAATAAAACTGCATCACAAGTGCCTTTAGAGTACCGCATTCTTATACAATGATAAAGTGGAGCATTAAACATTAATTACACAAATATTAATTAGAAATTCCTTCGCTGTAATTTACAGGTATTAACAAACATTAAGGAATAAAATTTTACTTTTTAGATACGAAAAATACAACGTAAAGATCTTGAATTATCATGTTAATCACAATCACTAATGCAAAATATAAAATAATAGGTGTGTACCTGAATCCATCATTTGAATCCTTCGTTCTCTATAGAGTAGGATCAACTTAACAATTTTTACCTCAAGAGTGTTGTAGGTATGAGCCGTAAAGTCTCATTTCTTTTATAGGCGTCCCACCATCAAGGAAGCCAAAAGGACTTTTAACAGCATTCCATTACGAAGAAAACCAAAATGACTTTTAATTCAATACTAACTTCAAATTTATTTATTTATTATTTATTCTAAAGGTAGTATGGTCATTTTGCCTAGCAGCTTTTCATCAGGCTGGAGCAGTGAAATTCTGCATTTCTAGTGGGATTCCCTATGTATATTGCACGTAGCAATTGCTTCGATACAACTTAAGTTGAAATTGGATTTGTCTCCAAGTTTCTTTTTGTTGGATTCCCAGTGTATTGCGAACTGTATGAGTTGGTCATTGACCAATTCATAAAATCCAGTGTCTTCGTCCCCCAACATTTATGAAATCCACAATATCATTTGTTATGGTGGTAGAATAAAAAGCATAAACACTCCTGGATCTTTGAAACGTCTTTCCTACTATTTTTCTTCTCATATTACCTCCCTTGTTTTTGAATTTTCAGTTCTACAGCCAAAGTTCAATTAATCCAATTGTATTCCTGTTCACTCTATCCTCCATCTATCAACCTGGTACCTCGTCCATAAACGTCGACAACCTGTTTTCAACATTAAATTTTTGTAGCTAAAAAAAAAAAAGCTGCATAATAATATGAGGAAAGATATGCTTCAAATATCTAGAATAATAGTATTTCCAATATGACCAAAATGCTGGGGAATCCACTAGAAATAAACTCCCCAAAGTTCATTGGGCATGACTTGTTTGGTTCAATTTTTATTTTTTTTGATAGCCGTGAATGTCCGGGCAAGCTTGCTCGCACATCGACTAATTCCACGAGGTCCTAAGATTTACGGTCGGGTATTCACCTCATTGGTCTTGAGAGGACTCGAACTGGTGACCATAGGAGAGCAAACACAAGGTTTGACCAATTGAGCAACCCTTCAAGGTTATGTTTGGTTCAATTATAACAAGAGTCTAAAGAGAAGATAACGTTTAGAGGACTTAAGAAACTAGATGCATAAGTTATATATTCGCACGAGTCAAGGAAAACTATTACATAGGGAAGCAAGAAAATAGCATATTCAGTAAAAGCTAACCTGAACAGAAAGATCAAATTGAGACAATATGACTTCAGCAGCCTTCAAAGTTTTATCGATGTTCTCATGAGCTTTCCGAATAGCATGTGTCCCGATCTGTAAGGAAAATTTGAGTAAGAATCACAAAATGCTAAGGAGAGGCAAATGCAAGCAAGCAAAGATCATAAGTTCAAGTTTTCCAATTTGTCAATAAATGAAAAGATCAAAATTAATATCAAATATGATTCAGAAGAAATGTTCAATGAAAACCATGAAAATTATGGCAGACAAAAGACAAATTTTTTTTTTTTTTTTTTTTTGATAAGAAGACAAAAGACAAATTCAAATTTCGAAACATAATAAATACACTCCACATTTCACCAATGGATTATTCTTTATCAAAGAAAAACAGAAGTCAAGTGGTTTTCTGACCTGGAGAGCAAAGTGGACACTTTTTTCCCCACGAGAGAGCAGGACTTAAAAGGATTATTCAGTTAAATTTTAATTTCTTGTCAGTTTCCTATTTTTCTTATGATTTCAAAGTATGAACAAAGGCAAGTTGGAGCACTAAAGCAGCCAGAAAATGAATATTTTTCACTTGTTTTGGCACTAACGATGTTAGTAACCACAAAACTTAAGAAAGGTACAAAAAGCAGATCAAGAAATCTGAATTTGGGTAGCAGTGCTTTATTTGCTCATTCTTTGAAGGCTCCTCAGTTTTCTCAGTAATTATACAGCATTGCATTAAGAATACTATAAAGTATAAACACGAGTAAGTTGAAAGCATTGAAATCACCCTCCGAATGGCATAATCCAATGCTAAATTTGAATGCTAAGAAGAGGCAACTGCCGATAATGAAATCCAAGTTTGAAGAAATGAAAATCAGCAATACAGGAAACAACACTTGATGAACTACAAGGATTCAGATCACAAATTTTTGTTCCTTCTCACATTTCAAGAATGGCTGTGTTTGATCAGAAACTACGAAAAGGTAATCTTTTCCCTATGAAATTCACGTTTTCTTATAATCCCCAAGGTAAAATAAAGCAAAGGCAAGTTCTTTTACACCAAACTCAACTCAAAAACACGTTTCTTCCTTGTTCGCTCCAGGGTAAATTAGCATCAAGTCGCCACCATAGTGAACAAAAAAGAATAACATAGTAAAAGAAATCAGATCGAGAACCAGAACTTGGGTTTCTTTCCTTTTTGAGTATCTTTTCAAGATTTCCATTGATTATCACAAAGCAATCAGAAAATCAAACTGGGCACAACCCAAATCTAATATAAGAGCAAGTTTTGGAAAAATTACTTGGGTGGGGCGCATGGCGATTTCAAGGGCAGAGAGTCGGTCGTCAAAGGAACCCAAAATGGAGACCATTTTATCAGTGATTGTTTCGCTCTTCTGCAGTGCTTCTCTCATCTTTGTTGCTCTTTCACTCAGCAAATCCACTCCTCCACCACGACCTTTTGCTGCTGCTGTTCTTGCTGGAACCCCCATCTCTCTCACTCTCTAAAATCTCTCTTTAAATTTCTCCTGAAATCTTACCTGTGTTCGATTTCAAAGAGGACTCACTAGAGAGAGACGATAACAAGGAAGAGAGTAGAAAGGAAGGAAAAACAAGAGATTTGCGAGGAAAAGTACTGTATTTAGGACAATTCAGCGACATCATGAAATCCGGAAGGTGCCTAATTTTGATGCAAGTTCAAGATTTCTTTTATTTTTGTATTTAGAGAATGACGTACGTCTAAAGGAATTCTTGTAGTAAATACATCATTGCCAAATTTTTTTATTTCATCCACCACATTATGCCCCGTTTGATCTCATTTAAATTTTAAATTATAAGTAATTTTTCTCTTTTTTTATTAATTATACATTTTTCAATAAAATAATATTACACGTATCTTAAAAAAAATTCTTTTTTAACTACACATTTTTTAATAGAGCACCATTCCAACCATTAAAATTTCAAATAATGGAAACCAAACGGGGACTATAAGTAACACCAATTAAATAATAATTTTGATAAACACTAAAGTTGTTTTACAAAAATAACCATTATTTAGAGCATGTTTGGCTAAGATTAAAATCCAATTAAAATTGAAAATATAGCCGTTATTGAATCTCACTCGTTTAATAAAAATCAACAATAACGGCTAGTTTTTTAATTTTATCTTAGCCAAACATGCTCTTATTAAAAAGTAAATAAAATATAATTTTGCAATTCTTTGGAGTTTGAAGGGGCATAGGATTTTCTGACAAGAAATGGTTTAACTGTGAAGGATTTACTAATCTAGTTATACACTAACCTTGATCAATAACTTGAATTTCTTATCTTATGATAGAAGTGGTGGTGTAAAAGATAAATTTTAGTTGTTTTGAGAATGCTGAGTTATGTAGTTTTGACTATAATTGTTTATAGTTCTGTTTTCTTCATGGGAATAAAGTAAGCACGGTGCAAAAGGTTGGTGTGATGTTTTCTTTCTTGATTGAACTCAGTGCTTTATAATATTCGAATTGATCTTCTCACGGTATTACTTGGTGTAGTTGTTGAGGGAAAACCAAAAAGAAAAAATAATAATAATAAATTTATGTTTATGGTGGAACAATAGGTGGCTGTTTGTTTCTGATTTTTTGTTCAAAAAAATTGATTTCTTGATCGTTATTGTGCAACCAATGTGAGGAAAAAGTCAAAAAAGGGAGCTGCCAACGGTAAAAAAAGGATATAAAATCTTGCTTACAATTTCTCTCAGACGGGCCCTATATATATATATATATATATACAGAAATGATCTAATGAGCACCGGTGCTCATCTTATCCTAAGTACCAATGAGTTGACACATTAATTCATTGGTGGATAAA